GAGAGAGTACGAGAGCGATAGAGAGAGAGAAGAGAGAGAGAGAGAGAGAGAGAGAGAGAGAGGGATGGAAAATGGCACAAAAATTATTATAATCTTGAGTGGACGGTGATTGGGGCATGAGTGCCATGCCCAACTTGAACACTTTTGAGTGTTAGGTAGCTTTTTCCTTATATATATAATTTTCTTGGGCTTTCTTTTTTTAATTTCTTTGGTCATTTTGGTTTCCATTGAAATATGGTTTACTCTGAATGTTTTTCCTCTCTATTCTTTTGTGTCTAGGCAATATGGAGAATTGTCTTTCTTGTTTCTTTTATTAATCTTGGAAATGTTGCTTCTTGTAGGCGAATTTGGGATTGATGAAGGTGTTAGTGGCCAAATTGCAAGCTGACAGATTACACACACACTTAAAAAGCATGGTGGAAAATTTGTTGCAGTGGCAAGATGACACCAAGAATCATTTCAAAGCCAAGGTGTGGTTTTTGATTCCATAATAATACACTTAGGAAAGCACCTCAAGATACTATATTGGATTTTTGCGTAAAGATTTCTTATCATTCTTGAATACCTAGCTGTGTTTTCAAATAGATTTCTTGTCATTCTTGAATTCCTAGCTGTGTTTTCAAATAATTAGCTGTTTCCAGGCCTATACAATGTTAAAATGTTTGGTAGTATACTAATTTGTATTAGTATTTTTGGGTTGTTTCCATTTCAGGTTAAACATCTGCTTGAGATGCTTGTGCGAAAGTGTGGTCTAGATGCGGTTAAGGCTGTAATGCCAGAGGAACACATGAAACTTCTTACCAATATTAGGAAGGTGGGAGTTTTCTCACTCTTTCTTGTCTCATCTTTTCTTATTTCACTTTCAGTTTTTCTTCTGACTCTCTTTCAACCTTTTTTTTGCCCAGATTAAGGAACGAAAAGATCGAAAAATTGCAGCCAAGTCAGAGGGAACAAAGTCCGTGTATTCAAGAGCAAGCACTGCCAGGTATATACATCATTTTGGTTATAGTGTGTGTCAGTCTTTTATGTGAGTTTAGTGCTTTTATCATTCATTGCACATCGTATGCATTGAACATTTAGTTTCAGCTCTCTCTCTCTCTCTCTCTATCTCTCTCATATTGCTGCTCTGGAAAAATGCAGGCTAAGTAGATGGAGCCATACGAATATATTTTCGGATGTTGGAGATGAGGATGGTGGTGATAGTGATGATTCCCTGGGAGCAGGGACTTCTACTCGTCGAAGCAAGGATGCATCTGTTTCTTTCTCTAGATCTTCTTTAGTGACGTGAGCTTTCTGATTCTCCATGTTTTCATTTCATTCATTCTTAAAGCAACCACAAATATCTGTAATCAATTCGTAGTTCAAATAAGTTGCAAAAAGTAGAAAATAAATGTTTTCTAAGAAATTCCCAGAAACCAGCTTTTTAGCTGTAAAATTTCCGAGGATTTGTGGAACTGCTGGGCTACTTTGCTTAGTAGTTCACCTGCATGGAAGCTACTGTATTTTCTCTTTGAAGGGAAAATTATGTGCATCTTGTACATGTTTACAGAATATACAGTCAGGCATTCGCAATCCATCCTCATATATGTACAATGGAGATTAACCACTAGAGTTTTTCTCAATTTAAGTACGGTTGATCATCACTGAGCACCACTGATGACAGATGATGGATATGCAGTTGTGTATATTATGCCAGCATACCATACCAAGTTGTGTATGGTACATTTCCCCTTACAGCTGACCTACAAATAGCAGTTACTTTCGGGATTCCTCAAAAAGGCAGAATGTAGATCTTATCATATTGATTAAAAAAGCTATGGCTTTTCTTAATTTTCTGAATGCTGGACTTCTAACTCTGATTATGGCCTGAGCTCAGTTATTCTAATTTTTGGCCAATCTTCATAATAAATATTCCGGTTGAAATATGCTTAGAAAGTTTGAAATTCCAGACCTTTACCTTGTCTAATGCCAACCACATGTAAACTCTGTTGAAAGAGCCCTTTATCAATTCTCGATGCATTAACTCTGCCTATACAAAATAATGAAACTACAGATCCAAGAAGCGGACAAGAGAAACAAACAAGCAACTCCCTGGGGATTTGCTTGACCATGGGGAATCCGAGCCCCTTGATTTACTTGATCGCCGAAAGACGAGATCGGCCCTCCGAGCATCCCAACCTCATCAGCTCCGACCCCAAGAGATAGATGAAAACATTGAAATAGCCCCTGATGGTCGGCTCATAATAACAACCATCAAAGAGAGTAAGCGAAACAAGCAAAGAGACTCTGACTCTGATGATGAGAACAACAAATCCCTAACCCTAAAAAGCAAGAATTCGAGCTCCTCTCGGGGAACGCCTTCTATTGGATTCCGGCAGAACAAGCGGCAGAAGACATCAGATTCGGGACGGGCTTACAAGGGTGATGAGTATGCCAGCAAGAAGGCTTCTGGTGATTTGAAGAAGAAGGGCAAGCTTGAGCCTTATGCTTATTGGCCTCTTGACCGAAAAATGTTGAACACTAGAGAGGAGAAGAGAGCAGTTGCACGGAAGGGTCTTGCGAATGTTATGAGGCTATCCAAGAAGCTTGAGGGGAGAAGTGTTTCAAGCGCCCTCTCTGTGAGAGGGGTGGGTGGTCTCAAGAGGAAGCAAAAGGCCCACAAGGGTAAGGGACGCTTCAAGAAGAAATAAGGCTTTTTGCATGTTGAGAGTGTTTCTTGGGGGTGTTTAGTTTGAATTTCTGGTTCTGATATTGATCGTCTGTAGCGCCTAGAATGTGTTTAATGCTGCCCCTGATGCCAAGTTTACTGTTAACCCCTTTTAACTGTTTTGGGCTTTGGCTGGTTTGGGATCTAGCACAATGGTCCAACGCAGTCCCAGCTGAATACTGGGAAGAAAAGAGAGATATGGCCTTTGGCCACATGGGAGTTTTTGCCATATGGGAGTTTTTGTGAAATGGAAGGAAAATGCTGTTTTAGTATTTAATGTTGAGTACAAGTTTCTTGTTTGTTTGTTTACAATATATAGCCTTTAGACCTGGTCACCTTGGCATGGAGTTCTGTAACCTTATATTCTTATGGATTCAGTTTATACAAGCCTTATGGGAAAAAGTTAAGCCGCACTTAAAAGCTAGGGAAGCTAGGGAATACAGTTTTGGCAGCAAAATACCCTGTTGTCTGAAGTATATTTTCATCCTTGATTATGATATCTTTGGAGCTAAAATAGGTGTGCAAGGCCTTGAAATCTTTCTGTTTTGTTTTTTTAATTATTAAATCTATGGTTGTTGAAGTTGAGACGATAAATTTGTAAAATTTTGACAATGGAACTACTATTTCTATTCGGATTAAGATGCAATTTTGATTTTTCTTTTATGAAGGCTGGCCCTTATGCTGATCTATTTTACTTTATTTTTCAAGGCAAAGCCTTGCCAACCTTTTTATTTTTTAATTGGGATAGTATACAAAGAGATTATTTATCTTTTGTACATGGTGGTTACAATCATTTACATTTATTAGATGTCAAATTGGATGTTTTGGGGTGAGTCATGAAATTTGAGAATGTTTTGTTTAAAACAATTTTTATTGAATGACATTTTTACAACTACCCGTTTTAAAATTTAAAAAAAAATAATGGTTATGATTTCTATGTACAAAAGATAAATAGTTTTTTTACAAACAGTTTTTTCTTAATTAAATTTTATTTAAACTTTATTTAAACATGACCTCTGTCACACTTGGGTTTTGGTTTTTGGCCTTCTTGTGGTCATTGGATTTCCAAGCTGACATACTGTTAAGGGTGATCTTTAGATTGCATGGGCACGCATATGGATGTATGTGCAGCAGTTTACTATGCACATTTAAATTTCAAAACAGCCATTATGTGAAAAATAACAGGCGTTTTTCAGCTAGCTAGCCCAACCCATCATATTATAAGAGGTCAACCTTGTCCTATATATGACCAGGCAATTTTAATACAAATTGATGCATTGAAAACAATTTTAGTAAATAGAATGTACATATGAAGCATATTTTTAGGCACGACCAAGGCTGGCCCAGGCCTATCCCGAAACATATTTTGGGCTTATTGGGCCAAATCCGTATTCAGCCCTATCAGGGGGCTAGAACCTAGCCAAAGAGCCCCAGGCTAGCCCAGACCCCCTTGGCAAAGCTGCAAATGCTAACGGGTATCATCAAGATGCATCACCATTAGATAAAATGTAAAATAGGGATTGTAATCCTTTTCCTTCAGTACAATTGAGGTCAAAATCCTTGGCAAAGCTGCAAATGCTAACGGGTATCATCAAGATGCATCACCATTAGATAAAATGTAAAATAGGGATTGTAATCCTTTTCCTTCAGTACAATTGAGGTCAAAATCCTTGGCAAAGCTGCAAATGCTAACGGGTATCATCAAGATGCATCACCATTAGATAAAATGTAAAATAGGGATTGTAATCGTTTTCCTTCGATACAATTGAGGTCAAAATCACTGTAAATTATCAAATGTCAACCCTAAAGCTTGGGGTATGTTGGAAAAGTCGAGAAATTTTCTTTTGGACTTAGAAATTTATTAATAAGACATCTCCAACGATTTTATTTTTGTTAACCTCTTTATACCAAAAGACAAACGGTCTTGTTATATACTTTTCCTATAAAATAAGCTAAGTTTCAGAAAGGTAATTCCATTGGAAATATCATTTGAGACTAATCAAGGAATTGAAAAAGAAAACATCGAATGAAACTTGGTGGAAATTTAGTTTTGATATCACTGCAAGTGAGAGATAATTGACCAATGTCTTTAGTAATGGAGCCATGAAAGGAGTTGATTCTAACGTAGAATTGGTCATTGAGAAGTACAAAAAAGTCGACAAGCTTGTAGAATTGGTCATTGAGAAGTACAAAAAAGTCGACAAGCTTGTAGAATTGGTCATTGAGAAGTACAAAAAAGTCGACAAGCTTAATGAACTACGAAGCAATATAATTAAGGAAATTTATCAAAATTCACAAGATAAAAGCACTTTAACATTTTACTTATATTTTTTATTTTATTTTGAAGTACCTTTCAAAATGCACATGACCATGAGTTGCTTGGAATAGTTGAAAAAGAATAGATTGTTTATTTGTGGAAAAGTGTTATGTGAGTCAGTAGACTTAGTAGCCCGTTGACCGACAAATGTTCAACTTTAAGATGAACGTCCACAACTAAATATTCATATCCAATGGATAGAAAAAATTTGAAAAAAAATGTTTTAAAAGTTTAAGTTTCTCTTGTCTTAGTTTTTATTATCATGATCATCATAGTGTAGATCATGGATCTCTTCAAATTTGGATCCAAGGTCTATTTAAAAAATGGGTGCTAGAGGGAGCCTGCACAAGAATAGTATGAGTTAGGGCACTCTTAAAAACCGAGTCCTTTAATTATTAAAAAGTTAGGAATATTTCGATAAATTGCACAAGGGTGATGATCTTAAACTTTCCTTTGACCTATCTCATGCCTGGGTAAGAGGGCATAGTTGTGTTAGGTAGGTAACCAAAGTAAAATTTTGCCAAAACCCATCAAAAATCTTGATAAACTTATAGTATCCTCTTATGTTAGGGCATTCCCCAAAAGCGACACATTGTACAAGAATCTGGGTATAGTGAGAAATGAGCAAGGGGTAGCTAGGGCGTTCCCTAGAAGTGACGCACCGCAGCGCCGCCCGGTTGTGGTGAAAAATAGGCAGTGGTTCCCGCGACACCCTAGACGAGCGCTCGTAACGAAGTTAGCCCAAGAGAATAAGATTCGTTTAGCCACATGGAATGTAGGAACACTTACAGGTAAGGGTATAGAGTTAGTGGATACAATGAGACGAATGAGAGTAAACATAACTTGTCTACAAGAAACTAAATGGAATGGAGAAAATGCTAAAGAAATAGATGGGTATAAACTATGGTATACATGAAATGATAATATTAGAAATAACGTAGATATAATAGTAGATGAAGATTTAAAATATAAATTAGTTAATGCCAAAAGAATTAGTGATATGCTCTTATTAATTAAACTTGTATTAAGAGAAATGATAATTAATATAATTAGTGCTTACACACCACAAGTAGGATTAGTAATAGAATTAAGAGACAATTTTGGGAGGACATATATGGAATAGTTCAAGGCATACCAAATGGAGAGAGGAACTTTTTAGGTGGGGACCTAAATGGTCATGTAGGGAAGCATAGTAGAGGATATAAGGGGTACATGGGGGATGTGGATTTGGGGAAGGAAATGAAATGGGTGAGAATATTCTAGATTTTGCTATAGCCTACGACAAAGCAATAGCAAACACTTACTTTAAAAAGGAAGACGAATATTTAATAACTTGCAAAAGTGGAACACATAAAAGCCAGATAGACCTCTTCCTAATTAAGAAGGTGGATTGCCCATCATGTAAAAAGTGCAAGGTTATCCCAAGAAAGAATTTGACTACCCAACATAGGCTCGTAGTCATAGACATCTGCATAAAGACATGGAGGAAAAAGGTGAAAGTAATAGGCGTCCAAGAACTAGGTGGTGGAATTTAAAAATGAGAAAATCAACTTATTTAAAGATAAATTAGTTGAAAAAGGAAATTGAACTTTGAACATGAGGTCTATAGAATGAGATGATTGAATGTATCAAAAAAGTAGCAAAAGAAGTTTTAAAAGAATCTAGAGGGAAAATAAACTTCGATAAGGAAATTTGGTGATGGAATGATGTGGTTTAGAAGGCCATTAGGGAAAAACGATCATTTTATAAAACTTGGCAATGTAATAAAAACGATCAAAACTTAGAAGAATATAAAAATGCTAAAAAAAATACTAAACAAATAATAAGTAAAGCTAAACTTAAGGCATATGATAACCTATACAATAAACTGGGAACAAAAGAAGGTGAAAAAGATACCTTCAAACTAGTTAAAATAAGAGAGAAAAAATGTAGGGATCTAAGACATATTAAATGCATTAAGAGTGAGGATCAAATGACCTTGGTAAATGATAAAAAAGGTCAGCGAAAGGAGAACAGTCTATTTTCAAAAATTATTAAATGACGAACAAAATGAGAACATAATGGTAGAAGGGCTTGTTAGTACAAGTGACGCTAGAGGCCATAGATACATTCATAGGATTAGGATGTCGAAAGTGAAAGAAGCTTTGAAAATGATGAAGATATGAAAGGCTTTAAGACCACATGTTATCCGAATAGAGGTTTGGAAGTGCATGGGGAAAATTGGCATTGACTAGCTGACAAGGCTGTTCAACAAGGTGTTGAAAACAATGAAAATGCTAGACGAATGAGGAAAAAGTATTGTGGTACCTATTTACAAGAATAATTGAGATATACAAAATTGTGCAAATTATCGAGGGATCAAGCTTATGAGCCATACTATGAAGCTCTGGAAAAGAGTCATTGAGCAACAACTAAGGCATGAAACTAGTGTATCTGAAAAGTGATTAGTTTTGTACCAGTAAGGTTAACAACTGAGGCTATTTTCCTAGTTAGGCAACTGATTGAGGAGTTTAAGATGAAGGAAAGAGACCTCCACATGGTCTTTATTGATCTAGAGAAGGCTTATGACAAAGTACATCAAGATTTGATTTGGCGGGTGTTGGAAAAGAAAGGTGTTTATAGATACTACATCGACTTGGTAAGAGATATATACAATGGAGCGGTAACTAGTGTACGAACAACTAGTGGAGAGACAAGTGAGATTTTAATGACAATAGATCTACATCAAGGGTCAGCATTGAGCCTGTACCTCTTTGTCTTCGTTATGGACGACTTAACTAGGTACTCACATGATGAAGTACCGTGGTGTATGTTGCACGCAGATGACATAGTTTTGATTGATGAGACCTAAAACGGTGTCAACACAAAGTTAGAACTTTGACGAGATGTTCTAGAATCCAAAGGTTTAAAATTAGTTGGACTAAGAGTATATGAAGTGCAACTTTAATAATAATAGGAGTAGAGACAAGGAAGTAGTTAAGATTGACGGTCAGGAAGTACAAATTACTGTCGATATATTGGGTCGATAATCCAAGAAAATGGAGAGATCGAGGAAGATGTCGCACATAAAATTATAGCTGGGTGGGCAAAGTGGAGATGTGCGACTGAAATTTTATGTGATCGCCGCATACCGATAAGGCTCAAGGGCAAGTTCTATAGCACAACGGTAAGACCAGCTTTGCTATATGGGTAGAATGTTGGACGGACAAAAACAATATACCCATAGAATGAGTGTAGCAGATAAGATGTTGAGATGGATTAGTGACAAGACATGAAGAGATAGAATTCGCAATGAATCTATTCAAGAGAATTTAGGCATAACACCAATAGACGATAAAATGAGAAAGAGTAGACGTAGGTGGGTTGGCCATATATGGCGCCGACTAAGTATAACACCTGTTAAGAGGTGCGAATTAATTCAAGTAGAAGAACTGAAAAGAGCAAGGGGTATGGCTAAAAGGACATGGTTGGAAGTAGTCCAAAAAGATATGGGGACTTATGACGTCACTGAGGAGAATGAAGAACCAGGATTCATGTAGCGGATCCCAATAAATTAAAAAAATGCTAAAATGATGATGAAACACAATTTTTTATTAATTATATTCCATCAAACAAGGGACACTCTATTGGTTTTGGCCATGGATATGGAGGATTTGAGTGAGGTTTATTGCAAGCCTAAGATGCAATCAATTTTTTAAAATGGATTTTCTATTCAAACTTCATTCTTTTGCTATATAAGCCCAAACTCTGGGCGGAAGTATGGAACGCCACAAACAAATAGTATAACGATCCATGTTTGTGGGTGCAATTAAAGGCAAATGAAAGAAAAAATTTATATACGGAAAAAGTTTATATAAGGTCCCAACCTTATATTGTGCAAGTAAGGTGCACTAAAAAAATCCATTAGTGAAAGTTGTTCTTATGCTGGAAAACTCTCAATTCGGGCATCTTAACCTCGAGATTCATAAATATGAAAAAAAAGGGATTTCTAGTCCTAAATATAATTCATCTTCGAACACATTATCAAGACCGTCAGTTTTTTTTAAGATTTTCAAGTGTTTAAAGATCTGCTTAATCGTCACCGTTTTTGAAACTTTAAATTTCATAATTGAGGACAACAATATATTTTCATATCATGCCAAGGGTTTGTGCCACTGAAATTGCACTTTCGGCATAGTTTTAAGACGCACCTTAGTACAAGGTTGGCACCTTATACAAACGTCATCCACGCGAGTTGGTTATTTTTCTGCGTGTGTAATAGCGTCCTCCTAGAGGCACATACTATACAATAAGTCTCTAGGGCCAAAACCCTATTTGGAAGTATTTTTTTTATATGAAAATTTGGGAGCTTTCTATCACTAGACGCTTAATTTCACTAAAAATATTAGATTTGAGGTATTCAACAATTAGTTCTACCCGTTCAAAAATTGGGCAGTTCTTGTTTC